TGAGAGTATTGTTTTTTGTTGTGTGTTGGGGGGGGGGGGTGTTAGGCTGACACAAGGTGGAGAATCGTGGTCAACTTGCTCCAGATATCCACCAGAGGGCGACAAGAGTTTAAGTGTCAGCCATGAGGGTTATTCGGTTCACGATGCTACGGGCATTTCTTTTACCGAACGGACATCGTGATCTTGCACAGATGCAACGATCTAACGTATTATTGTGCATTCACATACGAGTAGCGACGCTTCGTCTTTCCTGTCAATGTTTTAAAATGCAAACAATTTATAACTACGAAAGGCATTCCGTTTTGGATCATCAAGTGTGGGTTGACAGTTATATAAAATAATTTGTTTCTATGCAGGGGTGGCACTATAACCAGAGCCAATGGGCGCTATTGCCCCATCATAAATCTGCGTAGGCCCAGGTAAGCCACTCCAGCCATTTATTTGACATTTTATTGATATATTAGGATTTGTGGTTTACTTTCTCAGCCAAGGCACCCCCTCCCCGTTGTGTTGGGCAAGCCCCCCTCTCGCCCTGGGTCTGGGGGGAAGGATATCCTGGAACCGTCCCTGTTTATGTGGGGAGAATATCATCGGCTCGTGTGTGTTTGTGTGTGTGCAATGTGGACGTGTTTCATTAAACTGCCATTTCAGTGTCACGCACCCTCGGGAATGTTTGCAAATACTGTACAACCTGTTCTAAACTCACTATTTCTTCGGGAACAATGGAACAAAAAGGAAACATACCGATTAGCTTTCTACTGCCGTTGCAGAAAGGTTTTTTAACGGTATGTATTTTATGCAATTCTTTATTTGCCCTTGCGCTTGAATTAAAATATCTGACGAGTACAGGCACGATAGACTGGAGGACTGAAAATGTGATCACGTGGATGCAGTGCGCTCGATGATTGGTCACAAGCAAGTGGCGCTTGGCTGATGAAGATGATGGTGGTGGCGATGATGATGATGATGATGAGGAGGAGGATCCCTGTGGCAAGTGTACACCGGCGAGCAGCAGCAGCAACAGCAGCAGCACCGCTCAGTTGAGTTGACATGAGAAACCGCCTTGACACGAGAAGCCGCCTCGTCTGTCCAGGCCCCTTGCAGTGGACTTGTCAAGAATAAGAATGTCATCATGTGCCGTCAACAACATGATTGTTTGGCCTACTAGCCAAGTCGTGCATGGCCGCTCGCGAGCAGCGGACGGGGACAGTCGTCAGGCGGCGGCGGCGGCGGCGACGGGCATCGAGTGAGGGACTTAGAAGAAGCCGAGCATTGGCGGCACACAACCGGAGTACCTGCGGATCGAGGAGAACCGGAGCACCACCCCTCGCCGGCCGCGGAGCTGCACAGACACCGAGGCTGTCAGCGAGGGTCGGCGGCTACTCTGGGGCATTTTGCAGCCTTCAAAACCCGTTGTGAAAATATACAACAGCCGGATTTTTCTTTTTTCTTTTTTTACAGTACTTTTCTCAACGTATTTTTTCCCAACATTTTTTGATGTGTGAACGTCGGGATGTAACGTTTCTTCTTAGGAATACCTAGCGTTTATTTGTGCTGAATTGGCTCGGTGTCTTTTTTTTTTTCTTGAAAGAAATCCATTGCCGGCCCTGACAGACCGACACGATGTTGCATTCGGGTGAGTGAATAAGTGAAGTTTATTCATTTGATTTGTGTTGAGATGATGTCGAAATGTTCTCCCCCTCCAATTGAGGCATATGACCACATCTGCCTTCGTATGGCTGTAAACCATTATTGACTTATACAACAGTATTGCGTTGTTTAAAGTCAAGCATCTTCTGTTTGACTGTGTATGAAATATAGCACCAAATTATTATTCTATGTTTGGGTTGATTTTGAACATTGATGCCGACAGTAGCCTGACCTGCGAAGTCAGTCAGTTAGGCCAGCAGCAGCAGAAGCATTTCAGGCATCACCAATGCCTTCATCAGATGTCACCAACCCTTTTGAAACTGAGCTACTTTGAGACTGATTAATGGAAAAGGAAACCAATTTGATACACACGTCTGAATTAACAAATTTGCTCAAATTACCTTTAACTTAATGTTATTGTCAATAAGGACAAACTGATTGTCATCCGGACTCGATATCAGCACCGATGTTGTGCATTTTTGAATATCGACATCAGCCTATTTAAAAAAACATGTGATGGCAGGAAAGACATCAATTTAAAAACGTATTGTCTTCAGGGAATTGTTTAAAGTTTCAGGTAACTTAATAAGAGATACTGCTGACTCTGGGCACCTTTTGCTTTTATTTGAAATTAAAACAAAGATAACAAAGTGAAACATTTTAGTTATTTTGAAATATTGGAAAACTTTACTTATATAGAGAACTGTAAATAGTTATTTTCCCATTCAATTTTTCATTTAGCTGATGCTGATGACCTCGTGTGCTCCCTCAATTTTTGGGGTAGAATTATTAAAAAAATAAAAAAGTTTGTTGTCAAAGGTGAAAAAAAAAGTCAACATTTTCCAAATCTGAAGTTGTTTAAAAACATGCTTAAAGACATTTCACCAAAGTCAAAACTTGACATTTGTCTTTTTTTTTAAAAACTGACGCAAATATTTTCCAGTTTACATAAAATGAATATCAGCTCTAAGAATCACTGGCCATCCTGATCTGGGGGTTAACTGTAAATATATGGTCAAAAAAATTAACTTCGTTTTTGTTTCACAGAATGCACTGCACTTTCCTTGTGCAACATCTTCACATTGCTCACGTAAGCATTTCCTGTAAAAAATTACATTGGGGCGATGATTTTGGCCAATGTTTGAAGGGCCATATTCGGCCGATTTAATCGGACAGCCGATTAATCGATCGCAGACTACTACTAACTATTAATAATTAATCTATGTGACACTGACCTTGTTAATTATATCTCAAAAAATGAATTACTGACAGATAATCATCCATAGGTAACACTATTTCTGTAATTCTTTGCAAGTGTTAATATTTTCAAAGTGTCCCAAAAGCAAATGGAAGGGAATATTACTATATTTGTCAGGAATCACAATGTCCCATCACGAGTGAGATATTTTTAGAACAGGCCGGGTTACTCATCTGGCCCTTGGGGATGACCTGGGCCCAGCAGAGGAACCACATCGGTGACCTGTGGTCTGCATGCTGCAGATTATAAATAACATTTTTTCATTGCATTAGTTTTGGAGGGATGTTTCCAAAATACACGTTTGCTTTCCTTATTTTTCCTTCCTGTACTGACGCCCAAGTATTGCATCTGACGTCCACGGCAAGGGCGAGTGGGTGCTCACTTGACTAAAAAAGGCAGACAGCTGCTGAGCCACTCCAGTCAACTCTGATCTAAGCCGGCTCAGTCATCCAGAAAGCCAGCCTTTTGCAGGCGCATAAAAAAAAAAAAAAAAAAAGGCCTCATTTGACAAGTAAATAGCATGTAATTTCCATTCAACAGTCTCATTAAGGAGATTTTCTCCCTTTCTCACCTGCACTCTTTTCCAGCATGGTTGTGCTTGCCGAGGGCGATGAAAGACCAGAAAAAAAAAAAGGGCTTAGATAACACATGGTTGTTTGTGTCTCTCCACACAGTGTGTGCTACGTACACTCTACTCTCCTATGCCTGACCTGGATTGGACAAAAGTCCTTGTGTTTCCAGCCTTGGCTTTGCTAATACAAAGAGAACAATTAGTGCGTTTGAATTGACTTGATGTTTTCAGGAGATGTCAACATGTGTTCCTTAGGTTGACAATGCAACATGTGCTCAAGTCACTCGCGCCTCCGCTGAGCTGCAGGAGTGCAGTCCTAATGACCCAACTAATGGTTGAGAAGCAGCCCTTTTTTCGCATCGGGTCAACATGAGCTCCGGTCCCTCTTGCGCTGTCTCCCTACGTCACTGAGCTTCTGTCTTGCTCTGTAGAAATAATGCTGAGTGTGGGCGAAGTGTTGCATACATTCAAGTGCTACATTAATAATGCTGGAGAAATGGAGTTGCATTAGTTTGGATTAGCTTGCATCACTTGCCCATTCAGGATAATCTTTTTCAATAATGACTCTTTCGATGTCACGCCGACGACTACGACTACTTACCATCACTCAATGTTGGCAAAGTATGACATTGCCCAGCAATGCACAATTACTTACTCAAATTCAATGGTTCAACGTGAGCAGTCTATTATAATCAAGGTACTAACAGTGTAGTGCAGGGGTGCCCAATATGTCCATCGTGATCGACCGCTTGCCCGCGGTCTGGTACCAAGTCGATCGCGAGGTGTGCACGGGGAAATTTGTGTGTGTGTGTGTGTGTGTGTGTGTGTGTGTGTGTGTGTGTGTGTGTGTGTGTGTGTGTGTGTGTGTGTGATGTGTGTCTGTGTGCGTGTTGTTACCCATCTATCCATTTTCTAATCTGCTTATTCTCACGAGGGTCGCGAGCGTGCTGGAGCCTATCCCAGCTGTCTTCGGGCAGTAGGCAGGGTATGCCCTGAACTGGTCACCACCCAATCGCAGGGCACATCTAAACGAACATCCATTCACACTCACAATCACACTTAGGGACAATTTAGAGTCTTCCATTAACCTGCCGCGCATGTTTTTGGAATGTGCGAGGAAACCGGAGTACCCAGAGAAAACCCACGAAGAGAGGGGAGAACATGCAAACTCCACACAGGCAGGCCAGAGCCGGAATCGAACCCTGCAACTCTGCACTGCGAGGCGGACGTGCTAACCAGTCGCCCACCATGTCGACCAGTTTATTTATTTATTTATTTGATACCTATTTTATTTAATCTTCATTGCAAAAATACTTTCTGTAGTGGGGATCCCGAACCGCTGGGGTGCAAACTTGTATTCTGCCCCAAACAATTTGGTACTGGACTGCAGCAAAAGTTTTTTCTCCCACCAACGGTCCAACACCGAGCGGTCGGTGTGGCGGGCCTTTTAACAGAAAAAGCTCATGATGACCAACAAGTGCGACGCTGGAGGACAAGCCCCTCCAATGCCACCAATAAAAGGACAAGTGAAAAAGAGAAACACTACTTGGAGCTGTCTCCATAATAGTTAAGGTATTTATTGTTTCCCCTCGAGGTGTCTTCAGTTTAGGACCTTTCACAGCTCTATATATATATATATATATATATATATCGTATATTCGTATATTTTTGTGTTCGTGCACACTGCACCATTAGCATCCTCTCAATTTCACATTCACAAAAAAAGTATTTCAAAAATAAAATTAAAAAGCAGGTCACCTTTAACCTAGGGTGGCGCATGATCGGCATCATTGGAAGTTGTTAGCGGTCAACCATCTGCAATTGCAGCTTGCGGTCAGATATCTTTTTTTATTATTACTGTTGTCATTCAAAGTTGGTTTCATGTATAATTCACCAATGCCACTACTGGCACAGAATGGGAATCTGTAGCTCTAGGAGAAGCATTTTATAACCGTACACGTGCGTATGATAGTTTCTGCACTTAACACTCTGTAAAAATGCCTCCCTTGCCAAAGGTAGGCAGTGATTTCCTTCTCACAGACTCAGAAACTATTGTATCTATTTTTCAGTTTCGTTCATGTTAGGGGCCGTTATGGCCGTTGCTCATCATGGCGTGCATGTATATGTGCTTATGATATGTGCTTATGCGCGTGTTGATATTTGTGCACGTGCAGTAACGGGTCGATCGCGGGAGATTGGTCGCTTGAAAAGTAGCTCTTCGGTCCAAAATGCTTGGGCACCTTTGGTGTAGTGGCACGCTAGCTGAACAAATACGTAGACTGCATGGGTTCAGTTCCCACTCGGTGATGGTGTTGATTGATGGATTTCTGCTCCTTTACTGTACGTGCCCTGTAATTTAGGGCAGGGATCCCCAACCGCCGGTCCGCGGCCCGGTACCGGTCCGCAGGGCATTTGGTACCGGGCCGCACAGAAAGAACTTGCCTTAATTTCGTTTTATTTATTTCGGAATATGAAAGCTGTTTTATTTTGAAAAATTACCGGATTCTCCATTACATCCGTCTGTGTCACGCTTGACTCACGTCAAGCCACGCTTCTCCGTCACGTGACCGATTACGCTAAAAACAAAACGCTGGAGCTCGCAAAGTGAGTAAAAAAAACTGCTGGAGATCGCAAATGACGGCGGCCTTAAAAGTACGTTCGAGACAACTGGATTAAAGTTATGGCTGTATACTCTGAGATCGCCACAACAGCACTGTTGCTATTTCCGACATACTACCTGTGTGAGGCGGGGGTTTTCTGCAGCAACGCACCTAAAACAAAATTATGAAGTAGACTGGACATAAACCACACACTTGAGGTGTCATTGTCTCCTATTACCCCGAGATGGGACCGTCTGGTTGCAGAAAATCAAGCTCGGGGCTGCGGTGAGTCGTCATTTTCATGCACTTTGAATTTGCATTGTATCGTATTTTGAAGGCATTAAACATTACCATAGCGATCAGAGTGTTGCGGCCAGATTAGACGATCCTTGTGTTTATTATATTTCGAAAACACCTCAGTTTTTATGCAGCTCATACCATGTTATTTTGTTGTATTATTTCCGCCACACCTTAAATGCCGGTCCCTGAAAATATTGTCTGACATAAACCGGTCCTTTGGGCAAAAAAGGTTGGGGACCCCTGATTTAGGGGACCAG